GTGCCCTTGCCTCTCACCTCTGGGGGTGTAGTGGTAGTGCCCTTGCCTCTCACCCCTGGAGGTGTAGTGGTAGTGCCCTTGCCTCTCACCCCTGGGGTTGTAGTAGTTGTTCCCTTGCCTCTCACCTCTGGGGCTGTAGTGGTAGTGCCCTCACCTCTCACCTCTGGGGTCTCAGGTTCCATTCCTTGGCATCACATGTGAATAGACTTGTTAGCTCTCTTCTTTCGAGGGGTTTTCTCCTGGTTCTCCAATTTTCTTCGTTGATCAGTTATTTTCATATTGTTCTTCATAATTGATGGCAATAATCGTTGTTTGTTCTCTAGTTTTTCTTCACAGTGGACATTCAAACTGGCTGAACTACTCCATGACAACAAGGATGACGTCACTCCAGCAGGACTAGGGTTTTTCCAGGCAGCCTGGGACGAGACAGTATCTAATACTTACTTGGAGACATTAGGTAAGGATGGCACCTTGAACAGTGCAAAGGACATGACGTGACGACATTGACTTATGCAACAGACCCCTTGCAGCACGTCAGAATGCAGCTCAATTTAGAGGACATAACAATAGGTTTCCAATTCTCATGATATTAAAATTCTTTTGCTTTGTCCTTCAAATTGAGCTGCTTTGACGTCACATGCAAGGGGTATATCGACCTATTTGGCTTGGGTGTAATGTTTTCCCATTTCTGACCACTTGTCATTCCTAAGACACATAAACATGGATACAACTATCAAAGCCCAAGCCAAAAAGGTACATTGACACATATAGTGAATACTAAAAACTGTGTTGAAAGGCAAGAAGAACTGCCTGTGAAATAAATCACGCTTGATATCCTATAATGCTGAACATGCGAGGCTCTAATCAGATGGTACTTCGCTCAACTTCATATCGCGCGTCTTAACAAGCTGTCATTTTTCGGTGCGAGATTCCGTCGTCATCCACCGCGATTTGAATACAAACTAGGTGCTAAAACACAGTACTTCTGTGTTGCGGTTTCGTTACTGAGCAGGCGCACAAGGCTTGTGTTTCTCTCGTCTTTGTTCCATTCTTACTGTGCATGTGACGTCATAGCCGCCATTTTGGCTGACTGTAACTAAAGATTTGGTTTTGATTTCTTTTTTTCTTTCATCAACGAGCATGCATTGCGGCCAGGTCTTTTGCCCAAACTTTGTATCTCTCTTTCTTCAGTCTGTACCATCGTGAATATACAGAGCTCTTTACCTTGGGCGTAATGTTTTCCCATTTCAGACCACGTGTCATTCTAAAGAGTGTCAATTCTTTGTTTAACAGTTGCGCATAAGAAGACACATGAATATGGATATAATAACTCAAACGAAGAACCTTATTCTTAAGAGAATAACACGTGGTCTGAAATGAGAATCCTCTACAACGAAAGTAAAGAGGTATATTCCAATTCTGCCTTAGCATCCCTTTCAGGGGTCTCCTAATGATCGTTTAAAACTTGCTTAAACAAAGGTTTTTTTACAGGAATAGCGGAGCCTGTGTACGACTTGAAGCCGTTCATCACTCCAACCTACAAACGAAAGAACACTACGACAGTTACCTTTGAAAACAAGTATAGAAACATGTAAATAAACGCCAAGTATCCTTGATGATGATGTTCGTAATGTGTCATGATTTCTTGAAAATATTCATTGAATCAAACCGTTTTGTTGTTATCGAGTAGTTTTTTTTACCAAATTTCATATGTGAATGTGATCAAATGCGCAACTTTTTTACGAAACTAAGATGAAAAACGAAATGTAGAATACCGGTGAAATTTGTCTTGCGAATTGTTCAAGTGCAGCAAATTCCAAGCCGAACTTGGAAAGCAACATAATACAAATTTATTTTCCTGGGAATTGTACTAACCTCCGGATTGGTAACAACTGATACGCTGGATGAATCTATCTACACATCTCTACACATCTCTACACATATGAGGTTTTGCACCATGATACAGCTTGGGCTGCCTGTGGTTAGATAGCAAAACAATAAAATCCCTTTCCTTTTGGAAATATTGAATAAGCCTGAAGCGAGATGACGTTTTACCCCCGACTCTAGACCATAATAGTTTTTTAAACTCTTTTATTTTAAAATTTTTGATTCCTTAGAGAATACAGGAACAATAGTCATAATTAAAGAGCAAAAGCAGTGTGAAAAGGATTATGGTCTAGGGGGTAAAACGTCATCTCACTTCAGGCTTATTCTTTCTCGTGTAAAGCGATTGTAGTTTCCAGTTTTCCTGTCATCTAACATGGCTGCCGTGATGGTGCTCAAAGCCTGTGTTGAAAGTTTACCATAGTCTGTTACATCAATGCATTCTGGGACTGCTAACTAATCACAAGACGTCATCGTTTTTTGTTCTTTTGTCCAGTGTTATTTAACTGAGGTTACGATCCCACTGACATAAGACTGGAAATGACGTATCCTATAGGGCAGTACTGTCGAGAATGCAAAACGTGCTGTAACGACTGTTATTGAAATCTTTGACCTAGTAGATTTCGTGACTCGTGTTCACGTGGAAACATAAAAGCATTTTCACATGTATAGGAGGCTAGGCAGTCGCTTGTCAGTGCAGAACAATAGTTATTCAAATTGGTCGCCATATTTCGATTCAATATGAGGCACTTTGGAAACGTGATGTTTGGACTACAAAGTTGCACTTATCACCTCGTTATTCATTTATTCATTTGCAAGGTTTACACAACGTTTATTGTAAATTTGGTGTCTTATGATACCTAGTGTTTAGTATACGGTAACAAGTCAAAACAAATACACTCAAAACCCTGGGGTGACGTCACAGTAACATACTAGAACTATAAGAAGTTTTATATCGTCTAGTTCTACTTTACACGGCTCAGTTCTTTGTTATATCTCGCGTATCCCTGGTCATTACGAATTCAAAGTATATATTTAGATATATCCCTTGAATACTAATACTTATATATAGTCCTTGAATGCGTAATGAGGTTAGGAGTCAGTGGATGTAAGATATATCAACTCTCGGGTTGATATATCTCATGTCCACCTCGGTAACGGTAGTCTTCGATTGCACGTTACGTCATCACGGACTCTCGGGGAAGCGTTGGTACCATTTAAAAGATTGAACTCTCTTGGGAATGCTTATCGGCTTTGGAGATGACAACGTTTATTGAAAGTGTATAACCTTAACTTAACGACGCAGCATTGAAATGAAGGAATATTTCACCATTCAATATTATTTACTTTATGTAGAATCAATACTGAGAGTATCGTATCAGGGGTTAGGTCCCGGGGGGGGGGGGG